TTCATAACTAATAAAGAATTTTAATACTTTGTAGATTACCTTTCAAACATTATCTTATTTATTCTTGTCATTTACTTCTTACTTAATTTTAGCCACGGAGTTCGTTGGGCCCAAATACCGAGTATTGACGAGTGCCACCTGTACCTCAATGTTTGCCGTCGGTCAAGTGATATTGGGAGCCGTTGCCTGGGTCATCCAGCCCTGGAGATACATGATCCTTGCGCTGCACATCCCCTGCTTCATCATCATCGCATACTATTGGATCTTACAAGAGAGTGTGAGGTGGCTATTGTCTCAAAAGAAATATGATCAAGCTAAAGATGTACTGGAGCGAGTAGCGAGGCGGAACAGAAAACAGATCAGCGAGAAGTCTTTGCATGCTTTGATGAACCCCCCCGAGCCTGTGAAGGTTAGTTCCCACTTCTTTTTCTGCTTTGTCTGTCAATCACATGAAACAATTCTAAATCAACATTATTGCTGTTCCGAAGTATTTGAATTTCTAGCAGAAGTCGTAATCATAGAGACAGTTTACGGATAATGTGTTCCATCTACTAAGCCGAGGATAATCTTGCAACTGTATTACAGGTTGTGAACGGGGATGAGCCAAACCTCTTCCAAGCCATTTTCCGGTCGGGTGTGCTTCTCCGTCGTGTCTGCACCACCCCCATCTGGTGGATCACCACAACCTTCGTGTACTACGGCCTGTCCATCAACGCCACCAGTTTGTCAGACTCCATGTACCTGAACTACATCCTGACCTGTGCCATCGAGATCCCTGGCTTCTACACGGCAGTGCTTATCCTCGACAGAATTGGTAGGAAACCCACACTGTCTGGCGGGTATCTGTTCAGCGCCGCCTGCAACATCGCCTTCGCTTTTATACCCAATGGTATGTTTCTTATTATTAGTTTGTGTATTCCATACTTTTTTCTATTGGTCTGGTTCCGATCGGAACTACCCTAACTTGCCGTCTGCAGAAACTTGCACGTGTGCTTCCCATGTAACTTCTAAATTAAGATAATGATAAAACTTGTCTTCAGACTTGTCGACGCTACGACTGATCGTGTACCTGTTTGGCAAGTTCGGTATCTCGGTGGTGTTCACGTCACTGTACCTGTTTACCTCGGAGCTGTACCCCACGCAGTACCGGCACAGGCTGCTGGCCTTCTCCTCCATGGTGGGCCGCATCGGCTCCATCACCGCACCGCTCACACCATTACTCGTAAGTGATTTCTTTGTGTTTGTGAACAAAATATAGCCATAGTCAATCTCGCTATCTTTATACACAATGTTAACAGTTGGATTTGAGTATGTCTAAACTGCAACTAGCATTATTCCTCAAATTTTTTGGCTCATTGTGATTTAAAAACTGTGGTGATTGGTTTTTTGGTTAAGTTTTATTCCATCGCTCGAAGACTTCATCAACTGACTTTGCGTCAAAGCAGTATAGTGAGACATTTACTAATTGAGACATTCTCTTCAACAGATGGATTACTGGGATGGTATCCCGTCCGTGATGTTCGGTGCCATGGGTATACTGTCTGGTGTCTTGGTACTCACGCAGCCGGAGACGCTGGGGACTAAGATGCCCGACACCCTCGCGGAAGCAGAGGCTCTCGGCAAACCAGAATCAAAAACAAAAACCTGAATACATACTCAATGTACCTTAACGCTAGATTTAATAGCATACTCTCAAATGTAATTTATTTTCCAAAAGGTAAAATACTAGGACATCATTTTTAGGTTTAAAAGAACTCGCTGTCTCATTTTAAATACATGTATAATGACAATTTAAAAAGACTGAAAACATTTCTTTAAAAAGCCAAATCAAGCAATATTTTAATTTTAATACGATCATCACAAGCTGTTTGCACCAAACAAGAAACTGCTAATTCTATAAGACTCTTCACAACCGCAAGGTGTGCAATCACAGGGAGTATTCCCTGAATGTGGGCATGGGTATGCATCGGAAAGAAGGGGCAAGCGTTATAATAATATATCGGTATATAAGTCATTTGGTGATTTTCTCCCTCGAATATTTTTGCCGATTGTTAACAAACAAAGTTTTCATGGAGTTTATGTGGAATGTTTTATTTTTATGTGATAGGACAACAAACAAGCCGGTTTAGTGATGGTAAGCAATAAGCGCCGCCATTCGACACCCGCAACAAGGGAGAAGTTACGAGTGCGTTGCCGACCTTCACGACATTAGGGATTTAGAGATTTTGGGGTTAGGGAGGGATTGGTCGAGGGGAAGGATTAGGCCTCCGGCAACCTCACTCACATGTCGAAACACAAGAATCTTGCGTAGTGATTTGTTTCACGCTGGGGAGATTGAGTGTCAAATTCTTACTGACGAGAAACCAGCTCCGTTTCTTCTTCTGCTCCAGGTCGAGGTCACGGTACCTTACTGAATACTTGCCCTGAAACTTACCAACCATCCCTATTATTAAACTATTAATCTAACCAAGGTAACTACTAACATAGTTTCTTTAAGGTCCGAATGAATAGGTGGTTTATGGGTAGGTGTGGCTCCATCGTAGATTACATTATCGCTTAGGTACCACCAGGCGATATAGTGATTACACACAAGAGCATTACAAATAAAAAAAATATAATAGATACAAAAATCCCTTTACTTTGCAACTGTATTTATAAGGAACTTACACACACTAGAGAAATAAAGTTCTAACGTCATTTCCAGATTCGAGAATGGAGTATGAAGGTTATGTTATGGTATGACGAGAGTTATCTAACAGTTTGAGCTTGTAATCTGTAACTTAGGCAAGAGTGAATTTACATGTCAAAGAGCACTATTCAATCTAAATGGAAGCGAAAAGTCAAATGATTTATTTGAAATTAACCAATATGGACACTTTTATACGTCAAAAAAATATCAAAGTGTTCAACTTTGTGTGTATTAGTCTACAGAGCGAGAAACTCCATGGTTACTCTTTTTTTATCAGTATTTTTTGTTACATCATTAACGCCCGGTTCCTATAATTGAGAAACGATCCGTTTTAATTACGAATAGTAGTTTTATATACGACTCGTAAGCTAAAACCGTTCCTATAATAAACGTCTCGTCGTGCAACTTACTGACGGTTTGCAACTAACGGATATCGGTAAGCGAATTGTATGGAGATCTATGGTGTCTGTGGTTTTCCTATAAATATTTTAACCGTCAGTAGACGGTCAAGATAACTATTCGTAATGTCATTTGGTCGTAATGTCATACAACGACGATTCGTTAAATATAGGAACCGGGCATAAGTCGATTCTATTATGTCTAAACAGTGTGACACAATTATTTAGTCAAAGGATTCAAAAAAGAAAATGAGACAAATAGACACGTACACCAGCACCGTCCAACACAATATTTTTTTTATCCTCTATATAATTATTTAGTTGTTGTCAACTACATAAAGTTTTCTTTATTCATGAGCAGCATTCCGCGACACGCGACTCGGCGATTGTCGCGCTGCTACTCTTTACAGTCGATGAGTCGCGTGTCGCAGAATGCTGCTCATGAATATGGGCCTCTAGCATGGCTTGAAACTAGTCGAGTATCTCGTCAAATTATTACGTGAGTAAGCCGAAAACATAATAAATAATTTGGAATGTCTCACGAAAGTTATAATAAAAATAATTAAATTTGTTTTTAATCAGTTTTTGTATTTCGCCTATAATTTTGTTGTAAGATTTAACACAGAATCCGATGAACGACTTGTGTACTTTTGCCACTCTAAATGAAGGCTAACTTGTGCCTATCAATCTTACCTACAATACTACCTAAATAAAAAGTTGGTGAACATTTGCGATGTTTATAGACCGTGTGCAGTATATGCGAGTGTTGCACGAATTTGGTTTTAGCGTTTTTAATCCTGTTTTATGTAAAAAAATGCATGATTTTGTCACCCTATTACGGATAAAATAGATGCCATCTTTGAAAAAATGGAGCAAGATCTTCATATACGACGTAAGTGAAAAACTGGGAACTCAAAGAAGCTCGATTATTGGGTACCCCAGAAGCTCACTAAATGAAACATCATAAAAAGTGTACTCATTGGTGATTATTTATAACTACAATGAAACCGAATCATTTTTGAAGAAACTGATAACTGGAGATGAATACGGATCGCGTACGAAGAGAGCGTGACAAAAAGCTCGCGGTCAAAAACCGGTCAGGCTTAACAGAATGTGGCTAAACCCGTGTTAACTCGCAACAAGGCGCTGTGTGTGTGGTGGTATTGAAAGGGCATTATTCAATATGAGCAGTTACTACCAGACAGAACCATCGATTCTGAACTCTACTGCGAACAACTGATGAGATGAAAGCAAGATGTTGGAAGAAAGTGTCCGGAACTGACCAAAAACAGGGTTTTTTTATTATGACAACCTTAGACCTTACACATCTTTAGCCACTCCCACTCAGCAAAAATAAAGAAAGTTTTGCTGGGAAGTGTTAATGCATCCTTATAATAGTCCTGATCTTGCACCTTGGATTTCCACCTGTTTCGGTTACTTCAGCATTCTTTAGGCAGTTTCAGGTTAACATCGCGAGGGGACTGCCTAAACCACTTGTGGGGTTTTGATCAGAAGTCTCAAAATTAATGTACTAATGAGATCATGTCCCTACCTACAAGAGGGTTAAAAGCTTTCGAAAAAAAAGTTCCTACACACATTAGTTTGTTTAATGTAAATACATTAAATAATATTAAAAATTGTTAGGATTTTTTTACATGAAACTCTCTCCGGTACCTGGTTGCCAAAGCTGACATTTTCAGCCTTGTCACGGGCCGCGCTCGCTTGTCCCCGCGACTAGCATTTAAACTGCTTATCTGTAAATTAATACATTATGATAATCGTTAACAATTTTATTATCAGATAAATTTTCCTCTTGTTTCGCGACAATGAGCTACGGCTCACTTCACTAGGGCACATGGCTCAAAACGCCGCGTGCTCCTATTGACTGGACACAATAAATTAAGCAAATTGTCATGGACGGAGAAGGAAAAAACAATAGGGCCGATGGCCCGGCTCCAGAAAATGTTGACTCCTCAAATATTGCCAACGAACCCAGTGCACACACCTCACAGTTTGAGAAACGGAAGGGCAGCGTGATGGACCAGCCAATAGACCTGGACTATGTGCTAGTGAACGAGATAGGCCAGTTCGGCCGCTACCAGATGTTCAACTTGTTGCTCGTTTCCGTCCCCATCATCATGTCAGCCTTTATGAGCGAGTACATCTTCTCTGCCGCCGCTATCCCACACAGGTACCTACTCGTATTATTATTATCTACTACTTAAAAGAATAATTATTTTTTTACAATATAAGTCGACGGTTAGAAAAACATGATGACGGCTTTCTGGCGTAACTGTTTGACAAAGTAACTTTACTAGTTCTAAGGCACTCCATGGAATTATCATGAATAAAAAATACAAGTATTCTGAAACATTAAAGTTCTAAAAAGTCTTTTTATCGTTTAGATGTCGAGTGCCGGAATGTGGAGAAACGACCAAGAGCGAGCGGTTTGAACCAGAATGGGTTCTTAACGCAATTCCATCTGCCGATAACAACGCTGGCTTTGCAAGCTGCGACCGGTACATTCCTAATTTCAACAACGGCTCCCTAGACTACTGCCCGAGCTCTCTGTTTCAACAACAAACACAGAAATGTGACGGCTTCGTCTACGCTAGAGACAATTCCTGTGTGTATGACGTTAGTATTACTTTTTAATATATTTTATCGTTTTTTTATTTCTTGTATCTTCATTCTTCTCACTCTATTCATTATAATTATAGTTCGATCTGGGATGTCAAGACTGGCTCCGTGCTTTAGCTGGTACCTTGAGCAGCGTGGGTACTCTATTGGTGCTGCCCATCGCGGGATACATCTCCGACACCTTCGGAAGACGAGTAGCGCTCGTCATCAGTGTTGTTAATTTGGCTATCTTCGGTATCATTCGGGCCTTTTCCGTCAACTATCCAATGTACTTGGCATTCCAGTTACTACAAACTACTTTTGGTGCTGGAACTTTCAGTTCTTCTTACATCTTTGGTAAGAACTGTTGATTGACTTTTTTTTAATTCATGGAAGATTAGAATTTATGAAGCCAATAAAACATACAATTATTTATTATTTTCCTTAATTCGTCATTATAGCCACGGAGTTTGTTGGACCCAAGTACCGAGTGTTGACGAGTGCGACCTGCTCCTCCATGTTTGCCGTCGGTCAAGTGATATTGGGAGCCGTTGCCTGGGTCATCCAGCCCTGGAGATACATGATCCTTGCGCTACACATCCCCTGCTTCATCATCATCGCATACTATTGGATCTTACAAGAGAGTGTAAGGTGGCTATTGTCTCAAAAGAAATATGATCAAGCTAAAGATGTACTGGAGCGAGTAGCGAGGCGGAACAGAAAACAGATCAGCGAGAAGTCTTTGCATGCTTTGATGAACCCCCCCGAGCCTGTGAAGGTTAGTTCCCACTTCTTTTTCTGCTTTGTCTGTCAATCGCATGAAACAATTCTAAATCAACATTATTGCTGTTATGAAGTTATTGAATCTGTAGCAGAGGTCGTAACCATAGAGACAGATTACGGATAGTGTGTTCTATCTACATCATATTACAGGTTGAGAACGGGGATGAGCCAAACCTCTTCCAAGCCATTTTCCGGTCGGGTGTGCTCCTCCGTCGTGTTTGCACCACCCCCATCTGGTGGATCACCACCACCTTCGTGTACTACGGCCTGTCCATCAACGCCACCAGTCTGTCAGACTCCATGTACCTGAACTACATCCTGACCTGTGCCATCGAGATCCCTGGCTTCTACACGGCAGTGCTTATCCTCGACAGGATTGGTAGGAAACCCACACTGTCTGGCGGGTATCTGTTCAGCGCCGCCTGCAACATCGCCTTCGCTTTTATACCCAATGGTATGTTTCTTAATATTAGTTTGACAATTTCTTCACTCTATCAACCTGAAAGATCTGACGTGTACGTTTGTTTCTGCAGGCTACTTGAAGTAGTAGCTGCTTTATGTTTACAACACAATAACAAGAAACAACTTTTTTTGGAAATTGTAGCGTCCGTGGCGTACCTCAATCGACTTGTTTTACACGGATATCTGTGATCTATGTATGGTCAACACCTATCGTAATCTCTGTCAATCGATATTATTATTTTAATTTACGTGTTTATTATCATTTACCGGTTATTTGAATCAATAATCTCACATTTTTTAGATAAACGTATACGTATTATGATTGTAAATTTTATCCCTAAATCCTTTAAACAACTCACGTGTTAAGTACTAATGATTGAATCATCTTCACTTAAATGTACTTCCAATTAAATTTGGAGGTTGTTTTAATCATTTTTTATAATTTTGCATGCCCATATTTATTTGATAAAATCTAACAAATATTTGGTTGAATGATATTTGAGATTTCGAAACTTGACACAGTGTGCTAGCGACCACAACGTTTGTGACACATGGGTAATACGTAATGTTTGTTGCTAGACCTGTCGACGCTACGTCTGATCGTGTACCTGTTTGGCAAGTTCGGTATCTCAGTGGTATTCACGTCACTGTACCTGTTTACCTCGGAGCTGTACCCGACGCAGTACCGACACAGGTTGCTAGCCTTCTCCTCCATGGTGGGCCGCATCGGCTCCATCACCGCACCGCTCACACCAGTGCTAGTAAGTTATTTACTTGTGATGAGATGTATACCCTTGACCACACTCCCCATGTTTAGATATGCAATTTCATCAATGGATACGGGAATGTCAAAACTGCAACCAGCAGCACCTTCTAAATTTTCCTTAGCCTAATGCAGATATCCAGGTTGTCGAATGAAATTAAGGCACGTATCCCCTATGTTAGAGTTCTTAATGGCCTCTAAATTAAGCGGCTCCTGTGGATGTATTCGACTGTAATATGAATTCTTAAAATGACTCCAGTTAGTTTTAGCATTTTAGTCATAGTGTTCATACGAATGAGCTAATGGGGACTTTTTCTACATTTAACAGATGGATTACTGGGATGGTATCCCGTCCGTGATGTTCGGTGCCATGGGTATACTGTCTGGGATCTTGGTACTGACGCAGCCGGAGACGCTGGGGACTAAGATGCCCGACACGCTCGCGGAAGCAGAGGCTCTCGGCAAACCAGAATCAAAAATAAAAACCTGAATACATACTCAACGTACCTAAATACTAGATGTAAGAGTAACTTCAGTTCTACATTGCTTCGTATCAGATGGAAGTTATTTGACGAAACGTATTATTTGTCTTACTTGAAATATAATGACAATTTAAAGACTGAAATCCAATTTTAATAAAAACAAAGACAAATTAATATTTTCGATGTAGAACCGGGGAATAAAATAATAATAAAACGCCAAAAAGTAAAGGCGATGGAGGTATAGATTTTATAAACAAACATTATTTATTGAAAAAAAATTTAAAAAATACATACCTACCATATCATATCCTCATCATATCATAGTAGATAATTTATAATAAAAATGTTGTAGATTACATTAAAAATTCAGATATTATGAATAAGCTATTGTTTATTACAATATCCCTCGCTAGCTATCGTAGTGTATCCATTGAAATCGTATGAAACTGACGTATAAATTGTTTTCTAATATAATACATAATCTGTAACAGTTACTGCTCTCTTAGTAATGTACTATGTACTCATTTATGTATAGTAGTTATAAGCAAATAAAATATTTTATGACATAATGTATTTATTTTATTGTGCACTATCTCCCAGTTGAAACGATTCTTTGTTTTATGAATGATAAAACTAAATCTTGCTATTTATATAGATAATAATGTGATTTACATTCCAAGATATCATCATCATCATCATCATCATAAAAAGTATTATTGTTACCCGCGGACGTTATGCAGTCGGTATATTAAAATGCATCTGGGGTTTGTTTTGTTTTGAGGGGTAAAAATTAAATGATCAAAGAATTCTCGCCTCGGGTGGTGAAAGAGGAAGTGTCAGACTGTTACTGTGTTAAAATCACCCCAATACTTTTCCTGTTCCGATACAAGGCAGCGATATTTTTGGGTGAGAGGATGTTTATGATGTCCACTATCACCATTCCTTTTCAAAACCACTAGTCTTTTACTAGTTTCGACTAGTTTGTTTTATTGCGGGTTTCTTTGGTGGAATAATAAATGGTAATAATAACAAGTGCTATTTATCTCCAAAACGACTACTTAGTCTAATTTGAATGCGGTTTTTAATGATGTTATGTTATGGTTGGATTATAAACTGTTATTCTATAGATAGGTGTTGTGGCAACAACTCACTAGAGAATTAAGATGCGTAATGGTCGCAGGATATATTTGTTTTGCAAACAAACTATAGTACGATGGACGATAGTAGATAATCTCCAAAAACACTAGTCCGTTTTCAGTGCGTTTAGAAACATACAATTACACATATACCGTACATAGACCCAGAACACCAATTTGTGGATCACACAAAGAGTTGTTCCTTGCGGGAATTGAACGCGTAACAGGTTGTGAGGCAGCCAGTTGCCCAGCCAACGCGCAACCGTGCAATCATTTTTGAATTAGGTTTCAGTTTCGGGTTTTGTTAAATATCGTGCATTACTTAGATAATAGGCCTTGCGCACACAATTCAATGGGAGGTAGGTTATTGTACTTGTTTTAATTATTTTCTATTGTTTTTGTTTGACTCTGGTTAAATTCATGTCTTCTTTGGCTTACTCACGCAAATGATCTTATTCGACTCTTCTCCCTAAACAGTTAATATGCCAAAGAGTCCAGCCGGTCTTGACTACGCAACGTAGAGGGCAATCTACGTTGCGTAGTCAAGTCATGCAAGTCTAACTTAATTATAATAGGTGTAACCTATTATACTTAATACTGATTAAGGGCAGTCACATTTACGAAAACCTCGGTTCATCAACAATTAATAACATTTTGTATAACTTAATACCTAATTAAAAATTGTCTTAACATTTATAGTTTTCGTAAATATTATATTGTGGAGTAATATTACACCAGCTAGTCTCTAAAGATTTTTATTTTCTATATGATCATTTAGTATGTAATATGCCTGTCTAATATGTGTCTACATAAAGTTTTCTTTATTCATTGTTTTAATTTCTTTTCATTGCGTTAATCAAAAGTAACCCATGAACGACTTTTGTAATTTTGCCAATCTAAAGAAAAGGCTGACTTAAGCTACTTCCTATGTCTAGTTTGATAATTATGTTTGTCGAATAAATAGGGATGGACCTAATATTGGGCCCTGCGGTACGCCCATAGATATACTAGCACCCCGTGCACCTCGTTGCATCTGTTTTTACATTAAAATTGTTTTGGGAGTCCGTTACCCTCACACACACGGCAAAACAACGCTGTAGTTGTTTCATGGAGGTGATTAGTACTAAGTAGTACATCAATGGCTATGGTAAGTACCTTTGATAAGTAAAACAGTAAGTCGATGAGAAAAATAAAACAAGCACAAATTTTGTATATAAATTATTATGAACACTTAGAAAATTACTAGAGAACTAAACAACTAGACAATACTTCACAATGTGAGATTCACAACATTTACATAATCGAGTCACGGCCCGCGACCTGACCTGACGCATACAAGTGCACGTGCAGCCACACCAACCAGAAATACACAGAAAATTCACTCACAACTAATATTATCACGTTACCAAAAACAAAGTAAATTTACAGTACACACTTGTGAGTTTTCTGCACATTCCTGGTATGTGGCAACCGGAAACAAGGAATTAAATAAAAACAATAATATAGAAATACATTATGCTCATGTGGACATCTGCCCGATGTTTTGATATTGTTTGAAACACGTATTTCGATATAAAAGTATAATTTACAAACAAAGTCTGTACTGTAAAAAGGCACTTGTCAATCTTTAGAACTCAGAAAAGTAACCATTTTTATAAAATACCAGGCGTGATAGTGGCGAAATGCGGGCTAGATATTTGTACTGCAACTGCAAAGATTGGAATTACCTAAATAATTCTTTGTATTTAATATCCACTGATTATTTATTTTTAGGCAGATTAACATATTTGTGATAGATAATATCAATTTGTCATTTGGCAATGAAATGTTTGGAAACATTTAATCATGTGTTTTTGTAAATATTCCCAAAGTAATTATGGATAGACATCAGTGAAGGATCGTCAGATTATGGCATGCCTGTAATACCTACTTCATTCCATTGTCCAGACACGTCGATACGGTAACTAACGTCAGCAAAAGCTTTACAAGTCTAGACGTTGTAATCGCAGCAGTCACTCTATCGATTATATTATTCGACAATCATCATCAATTAGCAACTATAGTTAAATATACTGTATACACCAAACTTAAAATTAATTTGTAATGAGTCGAAATATCAATGAATACTAGAATATTTGGAAACACAAAGAATCATGATCAGCCATTCAGAAATATAACATCGTGCTTGCATGTTGCAAGAGATATTATCTCCGCGGAGCCCAGAGCTGAATGTAACAATCAATAATACAACTATTGTATAAATATTATAATACATTATAATTACGTTACGATTGGCAAACTTATCTTACTGAGCCACGTCGACACACGACAGTTCCTAAACACAGGCTTGTTTCCCTGCATAATATTCTCTTTTATTATTAAGTATAGAGAGATAGAATACATAAGATATATCATTTTTTTAGGAAAATCTATTACTTTGTATAAAATCAAGTCTATTTCAATTTAATCAAGTTTCAAGTATCAAGTTCAACTCTCGCAAACTGAGAAAGTGGAATATATTGTAAGCTACTACTACTACTTTATATTGTAAGCTAGCAAGTACATAATGACTTATTCGACTTCTGCTCAACGTGTCGACCATTAACCAAGTATCACAAAACCTACAACCTAATTAATATAGCTAAGCAATATCACACAAGAGCACCATAAACTCGCGGCAACAATCCGCCATCTCATCGTCTTTAAACAACTTGCAGCACGACTGTCTCAGATCACTGTTCCTAGTAACCGGCCTATGGCAAGCCAAGGTCACCACCTTGTGTTACTCCGTTGAGATTCACGAATGTCTTAAACACTAAATCACTGCACTACGTGGATATTGACTCTTTGGTCTTCGCAATTTAAATGGTCCTACAGTCACATCACTGCGTTTCCTTTCCGCTGGTGACGCAGACGGATAGTCTTGGAACTTTGTCATGGTTCTCGCTCTCCGGAGTATGCTCGTGAGGATTGTCCAGGTTCTCAGCGTCTACGACATCGTCTGGCAGAGCTGACTGGCTGGTATCGGGTAGCAGGAGTGCCAACATGGCAGGACCCAGAGCAACCAGCCCAAACACCACGCTCGGTAGACCTGTCATGTACTTCTCCTGTAGGATAGAGACAATATTCATTTATTTTTACTTCTGTTATCTAAATCATTCTACAAACTATGATGTAAGTATATTAAAAACAAAGTAATAATAACAACTTATCATAGACCGAAGGACGTCTACGTTCTTATCAAGGACCGCAATAACAAAGCAACCGGTTTTATCCAGTCTCGTTATAATGAAGAGGTTGGGTGTATCTAGTGTTACTCCGGTACTTACAAGTAGCGGTGTTTGCGGCGCCAGCACGGAGCCCACCCTGCCGACAGTGTTGGCGATGTTGGTGAGGGAGTTGCGCGAGGTGGTGGGGAACACCTCCATGGCCACCACGTACATCGAGAACACGCCGTAACTACTGCACATCTTACCGAACAGGTAGAACAGCACTGACGCCCACCAGATCGCTACAAGAAATAAGACATAACAAGAAAACATATTACTAAAAAGGTAATTAGACATAACAAAAAAACATATTAGTAAATTCAAAAATTACTTACACTTAGGTATGAAAGCAGAGGAAATGAAAAATATGCAGCACAGTGTATACGCTACACAAATGGGGGCCTTTCTGCCGAACCTTGTGAGCGTAAGTGCCGTGATAATTCTGGTAGGGACCTGCACGAGCAGCAGGGCGGAGAAGTTGAGGTACTTGTTGCCAGAGACACTGGTGGAGTTGATGATGGTGCCGTTGTACACAAAGGTGCAGCAGAAGAAGCAGCCTGCTATCAGCAACACGCGCAACAGGATCTTCTTGGAACGGAGCACAGACAGCAAGTGTAGCCGCTCTGGTGGAGCCGACTCTCCTGCCTATGAAAAACGTTAATACAAGTCAGTAAACTATTCAATCATAATAATGCAATTTCGAGGGAGTTTAAGTTTCATACAGTGAATGTACACATTTGATCGGGTTCGACAACCTTCGTAGTCATTTTCCACTGAATGCTTTCAATATAAAGTCCAGTGAACCTCCGCAGTCCATACACACTATTATTGAAGCTGATGGCCATATGTATGAGATTAATTCTATTGACAAACATTATAAAGGAATTAAAGCTTTACAAAGAGATCATTATTTGAAGATTTTATTTGTATAATAAATTAGTTGTTAGCTGTTCAATATACAGACATAATATTTACTGATAAATATTGAGTGATTATCTAAATAAGAATAATAAAAAAAATAGGACATGAGCGACATTTGGAGATCTTAGAGTTTTATTTTGTCAACTAAGTCAAGAGGGTTTAACCCACTTGATTTAGTTGATTTATTTGATTTATCTGTAAATATTATCTCACTCACCTCTTGTGACTTGCTATCTCCTGCGATCTTCGTCAACATCTGCTGTGCTTTCTTCGATAGCTGGATGTTGTTGATCTTAGCCACTTTGTTGAGGACCCTGACGGCTTCGTGGTTCTTATTATGAGCTAGCAACCACCTCACACCCTCATCGATGAGGAAGATGTAGAACACCACCACCAGTAGCGGCGCGTAGATGGCACGCATCAGATGTCTCCAGTAAGGCACCTTCCACGCGATCAGACCGAATGACGCACTGCCGATGCTAGCTAGGATGTCAGCTATGCAGGAGAACATTACTCGCTGCTTCTGGCTTACTGTTTCTAGAGCTGGAACACAAAAAACAGTTGTAAGACTTTATGTTTAAATCAAAAACTAGGCAGTAGGAATGGTTTGCTTCGACCTCTGCCGCTTCAGGAATATTTAGATGAGGAACTTTGAGCGCCGATTATACCCAGATTACACCGAGTTGGCAATTCTTTCGGTGCGGCGTAGTCGTATTGCCATATTGTTGCCATACGAGGTTCTGTTTTTGTTATGTTATGTCTAGGGGAATATTTTTTTTTAGTTTCTTTTATGTTCGTTTGGTGGTAAAGTATACAGGTATGTATAATGGTACAGTGACACATTTAAAGTTTAATCCGCGTGTTAATGAAACAGCACGGTGCACGTGCCGTTGCGAGTGTCCGATGTAATACGATGCATTATCCACTAAATATGTGTTTACATTACATTACAGAACAAACTAAGGAAATCATTGTTTACAACTACAATTATTATAATTGTACTGTACTGATTAAATCTTTGTTTCTGTGGCTGCGCCCGTTAAGCATGTAAGTAATGTACAATTCAATTCTCAACTTTATTTCAATCAAGTTGTTGATCAAGTGCCTGAAGATATACCGGAGAACTTGAGCAATTGCATTATGAATTATGATTACTTGTATTAAAACAAAATTATTTTCTAGAAAGAATTAATAGCTATTACTAAATCCATTTACAATACTAATAAAGCAGTGGTTTAAGGAAACTATACTTTTAAGGAAACACAGCTCAGCTTGTGGTTCGACACGATGTTACGTCTGCCACTGTGACGTCATATGACACGTGCCGAACCTGACCTCGTGACACTGTCGGACCTACATAACTTGAACTTCTACCTAGTCATGACGTGACGTATTTAGGTCAAGGTGGTGTAAGGGAAACACGCACCACAGACGTCACTCTTCTTTTCTCTATTGCGATTTTCGCCAAGTAGGTACAACCTTACGAGCTTCTTTTATGAGTGGTAAATCATCAAAATGACTTCTCCCACCCAGGGTGAGGCGAGAGGAAGTGTCAGACTCTTGCTGACTAAAAACCCCCCGTTCCTTCTCCTGCTCTAGGCCGAGGCTGCGGTGCCTTAATTTGCTTGCCCTGCAACCCCGGAATCTATTTGAGATTCCAATTTTCGTGTAGATAAGATATGAGTCCGAGATAGTTTGCTTGAAAGGACACGCGACCAATCGTCCAACGGAGCTATCAGATAGATATTAAAAACCCAAGGTTTGACTGTGTAATTGATGTCTGCTTAGCAACTTACAAGATTAAATGATTTGATAAGATGTCGCTAACTAATATTCGTATCGCATAAATATTTCTATAGGAACATATTAAAAAAGTAGACTACAACCAATAAAATTAAGAAGCTCATAAGCCGGCTTCATCTAGTTTTTTACATATAATTTTGACGTGTAAATAAGTGCTGTTTTATGGCCTATTTACAAAAATAAATTCATTGTTTCAAAGTTTTCGGGAAGTTGGTTAAAAAAAGCAAATGACAAAATGAGTCCATCTTTCGATTTTTAAAAATATTTGAGAGATACAGAGTACTTGTATTATGTCTTTCATTTCTCTATGGGGCATAGCAGAGACGTACATATTAAGAGTAAGGCCAACTTTTTTTTTAAATGAACCATTCCTCACACTTGTATTTTCTTCTGTGTCGTGGGCGGCTTTACAAATACACAATTTCACATACATGGCACAACAATTTGTGGAACACACAAAGTGTTGTTCCGTGCGGGAATCGAACTCGCGACACGTTGCGCGGCCGCCAGTTGCCCAGCCATCGCATTAGATATATTAGGCTATAAATTGATATGTAGGAAATTTATCAATACTTACATAATACCATCGAGGCGTTGCCGTATCCGAGCGCAGTCTCGAGGAACTCGAAGACGAGCAGCATCCAGTAGTTGACGGAAAACGACTTTATGAGACCGGCCACCCCCACCACTAGCGGGGTTCCCACTATGATCACTTTACGACCATATCTAAGGAAACATCAGGTTTTACTTTATAATATTAATACAAAGGTCGTATGCTTGATTTGACAGTGCAATTTAGAAGATTAAGGTCTCTGTGGCGACATCTATTGACATGTTTATCGAACTTTTTCTAGCGACACTTTCTATCGGAACTTTAATATGAATCTATGTAATATTGTTGAAGAATTATACCTACAGAAAAATTAATTCAAAAGTGTTTACTCGAATCTGTTGAGGCTTTTAAACAATACATGTTTAAGAAGGTACTTACTTGTCTGATATGAGTCCGGATATGACGAAGGAGAACACGAGCCCCAGGTTGTGCACAGTGCCGATCAGGGTTCTCTTCCATGGTTGGCAGCCCAGGTCAAACTGGAAGTACATATTACGTTGACTTATGTAGTTACATGTTTCCAATTTTTATACATACCTACATAATATTAACTTTTTAGTGTGTCACCCTTTAATTTTTTAGTGAGAGGGCGCTAGCGTCGCTTAGAGTTCCTTGCAAAATGATACAGAGGTTAGAACAAAGTAAAAAGTGACTACCAAAGTGTGGGAGAGCCACGCTCCGACACTAATGGGTCGACTCCATTGGACTGACACCACAGCCGCCATATCAAATAAAAAATAAAATATATACCTATCTATCATAATTGTATAATTATGTTATAAGAATGGTCATGAAGCATGGCGTCGCATGCTCTTGCAAACGTGATATATTATATTTATTTTTAATTAAATTATAGTTTACAATGATGTCGCGAGTCAGTAATAATATATAGAGACTGCATATTAATAACAAAAGTGTACCAAGTCACCGTGACAGCTTGCATATTGGCACTAACTATTAGAATCTAAGAAACAGGACGCGCTTCTTATAATATTAGTTTTCGAATTCAGTCAAGTAAATTGTTTGGTCGTGTAGAAATTATTCTTTGTTACAAAACCAACGAGATACCTACATCTTGATTAAAATGACATTTAAATACATTAGAGAGCATTAGTGCAGAAAATTCCTGCGACAATGAAAATATGACGTAGTTCTTTGGAGATCTATCTTCGCTAGTGGTAGATAGAACCTTATTAGCTTGAAGTGTTGTACACACAATACATTCAGGTACATAGAGAGCACATTATCGCTAAACACTATAATGTGCGGTGTTTACTCGGCGGTCGGCACCCGCGCGCCCCCGTGCGTGAAGCGGCCGTGAACTTGCATTCAACCGTATTCACCATCATTTGGTTTAATCACCTCGATTTTGATGAAACTTGTTTCTTTGTATCTTTTTGATTTTATTAAGATTTACTCCTTAGATACCTTAGCTGCGTATACAAACACAGCAGCTTACGCCCGCGGCTTCGTACGTGTTTCATTATTTCATGAGTATTTTAGCTACCTATCAGTGAAAGGATTTTGGTAATATGACCACCAAATTTAATTCCAAACATTACCCCTTACACACAAACTTACAAATTTTACGTCTTTATTATGTAATAGGTCGGCAAATGAGCAGACGTATTACCTGATGGTAAGCAATCAGCGCCGCCCATGGACGGAGCAACGGAGGAGTTACGAGTGTGTTGCCGTCCTTTTAGGGATTAGGGATTTGGAGACTTAGTATATTAGTATAGAAATCCTAATCACACAACACAATTTAAAAAGCATTAGAACACTTACCTCAGCTACAATGCTGTTATAGTCCTCATAAACAAGTTTGTCGCAGGAGACGCTTCGGTTCCAGGAGAAGTTGTTGGGCGCACAGGTGTAGGTGAACTCGTGGCTCAGCACGGAGCCGTTGTGGGCCGCCTCGTACGGCACCATCCGGCGACACGTGCTCGTCTCGTTCGTCAGCGCGTATGATGTCCACGACGCGTTGAACCGAGGGTCCACTGCCTCGCACTCCGGCACCTGACACCTGAGCACAAAAAAACTACTCTAAGTATAAAAGGTGAAGGTATAAAATTCATTGTTACAAATACTATGTTTACAAAACTTCTAATAGGAAATTTGCTCTTGAATTTGAACAGGAGTTAACATCACCTTAAAGTTATTTTTTTTTGTATATTTACTATCGCAATTGTTTTCATAAACGTAATATTTTCTGTTATGTAGATCAAGAACACATCATTGCAGTTATGTAGTGATGCTTCCTGCTCACGACTTATTTGTCACAAAACGGTGTGTCGGCCCTCATCGGGTGAGAGAAACACAATACAACAGACAAGAAGCGGAAACTGATAATACTACAACGTTACTGTATATAGCATATTTGTAGGAGTTATTATTTTAGAGTTAGAGCAAGAGTCCTTGAAATATTATCAGAAATCCTATAAAAAAAAACACATATCTGTAACTTAAGCCTTTAAATCTGTCACACAAGTTTGGGAGAGCCATGCTTCGGCACGAATGGATCGGCTCGACTGGAGTGATACCACGGCCTCACAGAAAACAGGCGTGAAACAACCAGTACGTTGTGTTTCGCCGTGTGAGTGAGGTTACCGGAGGCCCATTCCTTCGCCTCCCATCCCTTCCCAGTCCTCAACTTTGAACCTTTACCTTGAAATGGGATATGACCGATAAAGCACTCGTGACTGCTTTGGTGTTACGGTTGTCTATGAGCGGCGCCGATTGCTTACTATCAGGTAACCCGCCTGCACGTTTCCGGCCAATGCCATTAAAAAAATCTGACAGAGTATGTAGGTGTTTTGAAATAATATACTTTTTATTTATTTTTTACCAGCCGCCTCGGCTTCGCACGAGTGCAATGCCGATACTAAATTTCTTCACTAATTAATGGATGTTATTATACATGTAAACCGATTCGACTGCGTAGTTTTCAAGATTTAAGCATACCTTTATAGGGATATAGGTACAGAGAAAGTAACTATGTTTAACACTATGTAGTGGTACGTATAAATGACGAATGTCTTTTAATAACATTTTTCTCAAAGACAATAGCCTATTATGATATAACACAGGAAATATGAAGATATTGTGGGAAACTAGTAGGGTAATAGACTGAAACTATCATATACAATAACTTATATCGAGCCATTGACGACGTTGTGCGTCACCGTCCATACAAGTGCTGTAAACATTACGTGGACAATATTTCAGGGCCTATTGTGTGGCCACATGGCAACAGACACAAGCTGCATGTAAACAATACTACATACATTGATTCACAAAGTACTACCTCATTGGTCTGAAGCGCGATATTAACTCAGTATTGCTCTTGACATCATCAATGACATAGCTTTGAAATGAAATGATATTTTACATTGCAGCATTCGTTGTGAGTCGTTGGCGCACGTGACGTATGTATAACCATTTTCATCTACGCGCTGCAATCATGCACTTTTCTCGAAATGTAGAATATAAAATAATTTCACAGAAACTAGTAGTTAAGGTATTTAGTAACACATAAATTAAAAAAGTTTGTATACCCATAGTTCTATACAGGGTTGCCAGGTAACCATAATTTATGACCGGCCAGATCTGCGAGTTTGGCCTCACATTTGGAGTAAAAAGACATGACACAGGCATAGATGTATGTACGTCATAATGAGGATAAGAATGCGTCGTCTATGGATGCAAGCTCTTAGGGCGGCTTGCGCATCGTCGTTAAATACAGTTTAAGAGCGACGTAAACGCATTTAGTCTGCTAATTATATTTAGCGTCTTGCACAACAAAAATTTAGGCACTAATCACGTTTAACGAACTGTCAAAGTTAAATACCCAAAGATGGCTATTTAGCGTCGCTAAATACGTTTAGTAGCAATCGCGCGTCATCATTTTGAGGTTAAAGAAATTTTACTATTATTTTAAGATTTTAAAGAGTTCGGTAGGATGTTTGTAAGATGGATTTGTGGGAATTGTATTCTGACGACGATGAGGAGATTATAGAATATATCAACAGAATATATCAACAATAGCACGAGACGCTTCACAAATCACAACAAAACTTTGAGTGACTTGACAGCTCGGTTGACTTGATGTGACAGTTGAAAGCTCGTCGGTCCATTTCACGAATTTTTTTTTAAGAAATGCATCCATTTTGCTCTAAGTCAAGTGTACAACGCACGAAAACGTAAAAAGGAACGCAAGTAACTGCTTTACCGACTCCCTAACTACGATTAGTTAAATACTATCCAAACGGACGTGAGCAAGACCTTTTTAATTGTATTTAGGCTAAACATATTTAGCAAGATAAACGCATTTAACTAAATTCTGTTTAGACCACATTTTGCGCAAGCCGCCCTTAGAGTCCGCTTTAGTTCTATCGAAATCTAAAAAGCACGACCATCCGTAAATGTATGCCGGTAGACATTCAAAAAGTCTAACTAAGTATGTCCGCTTTTAACCAGACGCTAGACAACCCTAAAAGAAAGACTTATTTTAATAAGTCTTTCTTTTCTTACATCCATTTTCTCAAACATTGCCTTGAATGGTATTGGTGTGGGTGTTAATATTCATTGAAGACAGTTTAACAATGATGTCGTATATGTGCGTGTGTCTCAATATCGGTACTGATGTGTGCAGCTGTATTGTAATCATAGAGCATTTTATTATTGCTTTATTGAACTCACTTGTAACTTGCAGATGTTTCTATGTGCGAGTTACACTGCTTGAGCGGCTTGTAGTCAATAACAAGGCTGTTAGGGAAATTGATATAATGATGTCACGAAGGTGATTGAAGTTGACCCTAAAGATAATGAACTTTCTTAATAATATGGAGAATTTGAATTGATACTACTTTTTATATTACTTAAAAAATATAGAGCCGGGAAATGGTGTGAAATATTTCAATTTTATCAATAGATCTCTATGATTATCATTATAAGTTTGTTATATCGTACCTATTCCATAATTTAAAATTTTATGTTTTTCTTCCTCTGATATGATTATCTTTATAGTAATCTTACATTTCCTCAATGACTTAATTTTAGTATTGTAACCGACAGCTCTATCTGAATCATGTTATGCTGTATCTAACACAAATATTACACATGGCGCGTTATCGTTTCAGTTTATAAAACTATCAAACTCGATGTAACTAAATTATAGTTTTTTATGAGTCAGTGCTAGCAAACGATATCTCGAAAGTTATAAAGGAAGAAAGAAATGAGACCTTTTTTGTGGGAGATGTAAATAGCGCTGGACCCGGCTACGACCTAGGACTGGACCAAGCAGCGAAAAATTAACAGTTGTATGTTCTTTCTCAAGCTTTTTCAGCGATCTTAATAGCGAGGATTTAATTAAACGTTAAAGTTCGATTTGAAAAGAGACATGTTCAGTAGAGGATGTATTTCCTAAGCTGGTGACGATAATGATGATGATATTTTAGTAACGTGATCTGACGTAGGGGAAAATTGACGGTTGGGCTGTACCTACCCAGGAAGTCAGAGTAATTAATTTAAATAAATAACGTGTGATGATTAGGTGACGGGAAAGTTTTAGGTTAATGCGGGAAAGTACAAAGAGTATCATGTTGTGTACGTCACAGTTACAGAGCGCGAATGACAGACATCGGGGCAGACATCCCATATCACATGATGACACACCTACAGCGTGTGGGATTGCCAGGCCTGACGTCTACTATAAACACTGACAAAACCACTACATAGTACAAAACGAATGTAGGCTAAAATCTTTGAAACTACGCTACGGTTTTTGATGCACAGACTTTTTTTTCAGATAGAGTCATTGAAGAGGATGATTTATAGGTATATGTATAACAGTATCCATTAGACAATAAATTAATTTAGGTACCTATCATCATTGCACCCGTGTAAAGGAATAAGACAAGGCTTCTTTAATAATTATACAATGTCATTGTTATAAGATAAACTACAAGGATGAATAGAATTAATGAATAGATCTGTTTTAAAGTAATATATAGAAATGTGTTATTATAGCGTGTGATGCAGTGAATGTAAAACATGGCGCCGCTTATCGCTCGCGACAAATTGAGAACTAAAACATTGCCCAGATCGTAACACAAGTTATGGAACTCGTGGTATCTGATTGTGTGAGACATTCGGTTTTGAATTTAATTTTGACACAAATATCCAAGTCGAGATTAGAAGAAATTAGAAAAAGTATTTTGTTTTATAACTCTTAGAGTTCAACCTGCAATGGACTATGCACTTTTATACAAACACACTGTTAATAAAAAAGCACATCAATCAAATAAAATGGATTGTAATAAGGAGTCTGTGTTGCATCAGCTAAGCTAGTTAGACTATCAGCTCCGAGCCTGTGTTAGCTACGTACGTACGCAGTGTATGTATGTAGATAAGGTAGGACTGACCTGAAGTCGACTTCAGCAGCGGTGAAGACGTAGTTGAAGTTGCACATGGCGAGGAAGGAGTCTCGGAAGGCGAGCAGCAGCAGCAGCAGCAGCTGGTACTTGCCGAAGCTGCCGAGCTCGCTCAGGATGCCATCCAGGTTGAACTGGCCTTCTTTGTTCTCCTCCGTCACCTGGATATATACACACAAAATGTTAGTAAAACTTACATCTATGTTAGTAGTCACAATTGTTTTTTTTTTCCTTTTTGTCAGATACATCCTACATTAATCCATGGGAAATGGCATTACATCGTCCCATGTATATGCAGTCCAGCCTGCTTGCAACCATGTTCAGGATACTGTTGGAGCTGGCCCGCACCCTGCGCACCAAGGAGGCACACCTTTTGCGCATGGTTGCATAAAAACAGTCTATGTGTGCATCTGCAAACATCCCTGATGCGCTACAGAAGCGCGGCAGCCCCACCAGCACCCTAAACGCGTTATTATATTGAACACGGAGAGCGCTGTACGACCTCCGCGCAAATCTAGCCCACAGGCTGCATGTATAAAAGTTGGTACAGTAAGCCCTAAAAAGGGTGAGCTTGACTTCAAGTGAACATCTTGCAAACCTGCGAGCTATCATGTTTGCCCTAACGGACAACGCTCTCCGCTCACGTTCAATGTCTTTATCGTCCTTGAGGTCGGGTGTCAATATATGACCCAGATATTTAAACCTATGAAAACTGTTTAAAGGCACTTTATTAAGAAATACAGGTGGTGTACTTTCAGGACTTTTACCCCCAGCCTCAAATACCATAATTTCCGACTTTTTGCAGTTGTAAATAAGTCCATGTGACTTTGCATACTCTTCACACTTCTACACAAGTTTTCTAAGGCCACAGATTGACGCGCTCAGCAGCACCATGTCATCCGCGTAACTAATGTTATTAACACAGACACCATCAATAAAACAGCCGACCCTAATGCTACTCAACTCGTCAATCAGCCCGTTCACATACAGGTTGAACAGCGTAGGTGAACTCAACCCCCCCTATCTAACCCCACACTCCAGCCCATATGCACGAGACAAAGCCCCGACCCATCGCACATAGTTGCTCTGATTTCCATACCAAAATTTCAAAATGTTTATTATTTCAAATGGTAAATTTGATCTCTCCAATTTTTTTCACAACCCCTCATAGGAAACCAGTTCGAAAGCCCTGGATAGGTCGAGAAAGCAAGCGTAAACAGGTGTACAACGCCGTGTATAATACGTGACAGCCTGCTTAAGACACAAAATTGCACTTTCGGTTGACAATCCGGGTCGAAACCCGAACTGGTTATCATGAAGTTCTACATATTTGTTCAATTGTGTATTAAGCAAGCTGTCAAATATTTTAGATATTACCGTAGCCAATGATATGGGTCTATAGTTACCTGTGTCTGCGACGTCTCCCGTTTTGTTCTTAATAATAGGTACTACCAGTGTCCGAATCATTTCGCTCGGCAAGTAACCATGACCCACACAAAAGCTATACAACATTGCCAGAACTCTCGGCAAGTGCGGACCCGCATAGCGGAGGTGCTCGATGCTGAGCCCGTCATGACCAGGAGACTTGCCCTTAGACATGCTTTTTATAATTTGAGCAATCTCTTTTGCTTTAAATTTGACCTCTAGATCTTTACCAAGCTCAACATCGATCACCGATCCCAAGCTACCCAGAGGAGACTTTACAATGAAATTATCTCTGAACAGGTTGGCAATATCTTCTGGCTCACACATGCCGCCGACACTCACAGGAATCCCCGGCTTATTGTGTATTTTATTTGTGTGCTTCCAGAAACCACGAAAGTCATTTTTAGAATGGTGTGAGGCCAAAATATCCATTTTTACTTGATCCTCATGATTTTGACACCATTTGAGTCTCGATTTAAAAACTTTTCTAGCCTCACACATTTCTTTGTACACATACCTGACATTAGGTTTTCCACAGTTTACCCACTTTAAAAATTTTTCTTTTGCAATCGTGTGCGCCCCAGCGGCATGCCCGTTCCAGCCTACAACCTTCTTTCTAGGCTCACTAATGCCACTATCTCGACCCACCACTGCTGAACTTTTAAGTGCATGTACGATGTCCGAATACAGCTGATCTATAACTTTCTTGTGCATATGATCTCTACATGTCCTATCACAACACGTCTCAAGTTCACGCGGAAAGTCAATTAGTCTCAACCTGTCATGACATTCTCTCTGATAGCATTCTATCTGACTTATACTTCTTTCCCCCACGCAACTTTACTAGAGTAAGTTTTTGACACGCATTTTTTGGGGACAATTGACTCCAGACAACATTCCACCACCAAGGGAAACAAGAATATGGTACAGAAGAAATTTAATAAAGATGTGCTCAAATACAACATGGAACAAAAAGATGTAAATGATTACACCTGTATATAGTGTATAGGTATATTATACTACAGGTTGTAATAAGATATTTGTGCCAAATTACGCTAAATAAAAACACAAATTTAAAATTCAACTTATCTTATAAATAATGAATTATGAAAAGTATTAGTTTCCAATAGTCCATAAATTTAAATTAAAATGTTATCAAAATAATTATTATGCAAAAAGATTTTAACTTATCTACTTAGTTTGTATCTACTAATAATTAACTGAAGGGTCGACGCACCTTAACTGTAGTTTCCTTGGCAACCATGGTGGCAGCTCTGTCGTTACTTCACACTACTGATGCTGTTCACACCTATCACCATCATCCCTGAAACAAATTACATCTTTATTCATCCACCCGAATATAAAAAGGTCAAACACTCAATAAATCAGAATTCATAAAAAACCTTTTACGGAATACTTTTATTTAACTTAAATAATAAGGATCATATCTTTTTATATAAAAAAATAAATGAAAACCTCAACACCATAATAAATTAATTAATTACTGTATGTTCACAGTTATTTAATTATCATTATATTACATAAGTGTTTATTGCCGTAACCACAACTCATATTTTCCTGTAGCCTCCAATTTGAATTCAAATATCAAGTTTCCCGAGTTCGGGCTGACGTCTGACGTACCTACAGATTTCTACTATTGCCAATTACTACTACTTTCTGTGATGACCTTGAACTTAATAGGACGTCATTTGACATTCGACTTATCCAACTAACACATGGACACATAGTTCTAATTAATAATAAAAAAACTAAAATAGTTTGTAGGTAAACTGTAAAATTGGACGCTGAATTTGTATTCAAAAAGATATCCTAGAACGTACTATATTATATATATTTATTAATAACTATCATAAGATAATGCAATAATTTATGTTTTGTTGTATTTGTTAATTATTTTCTACTCATGCTTCATCTACGTTGCGTAATAAGTTGTGCATATTGATGTACTTCCATAAAACAAATTTTGAATGTTATTTATTAAGTTTTAATTACCTAAATTGCGTGCCAATATAAATTATATGTAGTTTTAACTAGTTTATATCGCCCACCATAGCTCACTCCATGAACTAATATGAAGAGATCCTTCTAGATCAGGCATATGCTCACCTTCCAAAGGTTACAACACTAAGCAAGCATCTGCTACGTTATCAAAGTCTTTTTTGTGGGTAGATAATTATTGAATGAATTCTCTCTCACTGTGTGAGTGTCAGACTCTTACTGACTAAAAACACCTCGTTCGTTCTTCTGCTAAAAGCCGAATCTGCGGTACCTTATTGCGCTGACGCTGACGAGAGTTAATTAATATACCATATATTTTTTCAAGTAACAGATTTGTATATTTCTTTACATACCGATACCTAAGTACAAACTACAACTGAATATTCTGAAACATACCCTCGATCCAATAGACAGGAGGATGCGGCACTTGTATATTTTATTTGGACATAAATATGTCAACAGTCGGTAGTTATTTTATTTATATGTCCGTGCGCTCCGGATGTCGGCCGGAGTTAACACGCACTAGGCCGCTCTCTCGGAGGCACATTCTAATTACAATAAAATTACTGTCACGACCATTTAAGTTTTTAATTATGATTCAGTGGCACGTACTTCCTTATCGGTACAGCATGGACCGTTTGAACAGACTCACGCGCACCTCTACAGCTGCGAATTCTCTGACCAACGTAACTGTGTTTTATGCTGAGATTTATTTTGTTTTTAGTGGACAGTTTGGTTATTGGAAACTCGATTGTAATAATGTGAGGACGATATCATATTTTAATCTACAAATAAAATGCACCTTCATAACCTTTGTCAATGTCATCTTAGATATGTATTTCTTTTTCTTTTAGTGCAGCATTCATTTATCATTTTTCACACTGTGTTATACACCGAGTAGAATCACAATAAATTAGAGGCGGTTAAACAAAATCTGTATGAAGGTCTAAACTAAAATTGCGAATAACTTTAGTTAGAACAGGTCACTCACCTCCATCAGTTGTTAAAGCGACCGAATATGCAAAAATGACGTAGGTACACAGTAACTCAGTAAACTCACGACAGTGTGACAGTGACACGACACATTACGCACCCTGAGCGCCACAACACATGACACACTCACAAACATAACTTTGTCTCAAATGACACGAGACATTGTTTCGATCACGAGATCTGTGTCATAATTAGATACTGCCAATATATTTACACCAGATTATCTAATATTACACAACTAGACGTTTTTCTAAAACAGCTTCTTGTCACATTTTAAGACCGAATAGAAAATTCTAGATTTTTGACAATAGATTGCATAATAATATTAAGTCAATAATAAAACATTAGGTAGAGATGGCTAGAAGCTTATCGCGTGTGACATTTTCACCTATCTACATATATTGATATTATAAGAATGAAGAGGTTGTTTGTTCGTTTAAAGGCGCTAGTCCCAGAAACTACTGGTCCCAATTGAACAATTCAATCAAAAAAGGCTAGGCAAAAACGCGCGAAAGTTACTAGTGTGAGTTTATAATCGGCAAGAATAAACATACCTATAAATAAACATTAATAATAAAGAAGTTTATGTTTTATAGATCTATATAAACTCAAACCGGCTTTGTACCTAGTTAAATAAGGTATTAGGTATTGTGGGAAAATATTATTTTTGTATCACATCTTAATTTTGAACTTTGGGTCTTCGAAAACAAATTTTTTAACTGGTTTTTAGAAAGGCAGGTTGTTGATAAGTCATGTTTGTTTCTACAGTCCCACTGTTGCTTAGCACGTGTCGTCTGCTAAAATAATATTACAACAACAAATCGCGTATATCCTTTGAGTTGCGGAGAGTATAGAGGGAATAGTAGCTCGCCACTTGACCAAACCTAGAGATCCGACTTAAGGCACCGCACGCGCCTTAAAGAGCCAACAGAAATGATGTTCAATCGGGGTTGCGGGCAATAAAGTAGGTTCCACGGCCTCGGTCTGGAGCAGGAGAAGAAGGGGGTTTTTTAAGGTTTTAGTCAGTAAGAGTCTGGCACTCCTACTCTCCCAATCCTTGGCTAGAAAATGGTTAATTCCTTTACCCGGTAATAGAATCAGAAATCGATTGTTCGACAATCGCATTTGCGGTTATTTGACAAACAACAAGACAATCCCGATAGATACTGAGCCGATGATTATTTTTTATGAGATAGGACGGCAGACGAGCTTACAAAATTGCTGACGGTAAGCAAACGGCGCCCACAATACCAGAGTAGTTTTTTTTTCGTCACGGGAAAATCGTCAAATGACCTCTTGCGCCCAGGCGCCAGGGTAAGGCGAGAGAGAGTGTCAGACTCTTACTGACTAAAATCCCCCCCGTTCCTTCTCCTACTCTGGGCCGAGGCCATGGTGACTCATTGCACTTGCCCCGCAACCCAGGCTAACACCACAGGAGTTACAAATGCATTGACGGCCTTTTGAGGATTCGGTTTTGGACATTTAAGGATTGGGGAATGACTCGAGGATGGCAAGAAGGTGTTACTGCGGCATCTTTAATTACAGGCTAGGTTGCTAAGCTAGTTAGCTGCGACGTATTTAAGAATTTCCCGCCCTGTCATAATATGTATGACTAAATATACACGAAACTGCAACACTTTTCAAGTTACATGTAATAACATTGTTATGGTAATCAACAAGTTTCACAATAAACGTATTTTGTACCACGTGACTCACGCCGTGTATGATTTATATCTCAAATATTTGAACACTCGTTCATTCATCGCTTTGTTCACTTAACATTGAAGTGTGACAACTTTAGCTCATAAATGTCTTGTAAACAAATGTATGTATGTATGTATAGTAAAGGGAAATTTATTATTATTTAAAAAAATATTGTGATGGATTGATTAATTAGCATATTGTAAAAAGATCTATTAATGACAATATAAAGGACAATAAAACAATATGATTTTTTCTTATTGTGTCTGTGAATAATTTGCATACCTACATGTATAATAATACACTAGCTGTAATCCTACGCGAGTTTATTAAAGCTGTAACTATGCTACCGTTTTATCCTTGCGTAAAGAAATCCTTGTTTTTCAAGGAATAATATAAATGATGATTTTTTTTAATCAGTGTCGATGTTCACGAGATTTTCACATTTCGTCAGCAGTATTAAGATATTTCCCTCTACATTTCTATAAAAAATAGTCGACAAAATTGGTTCAGGTAAAAGTCAAAAAAAAATCATTTATTCCAATTAGACCTTTACAGGCACTTTTGAACGTCAAACAAAATTTAAAACAAAAAATAGTGTCAGTCTGTGGTATTGTTGAGTTTGACGCTTACCAACATATTTTACGTTTAATTTTTATGTATATTATAGATTAGATATATTCGAACAAATGCTTGTTCCGAATGGTAGCGCCGACTAACGACACCGACCAATTCAAAATGTCCACTCCACTATACAAACAGTTGACATTTGTTCAAACTATTAACAATAATGCTACAAAAATATTCACTTAAGCACATAATGATTGCGTTTGTAAACCAAAATATATAATTATATAAGTACGTGTGGAACTAATTCTCTATTTAAAATAACTACATACATATATATCTTCAGTTTCAACACTAAATGTGCGCAGTAAAAAAATAAGTTTTAATATGACTTATACTAGGACCTTGCTACGAGATTTCGTAGTAGGCAATGTATGTACTGTGAATAATATGATAATACTGAACCGTTGTCTTTTAAAAAAGACAATATATGTATTTGTCTACGAAAAATTGCAATTGAAACTAGCAATGTGTAACAATTTGTAACAATTAAAATAATAAAATAAATTAATGTTCATTTTACTTTGGACGCATTGGGTTTCGAAGTTATGGAAATCGTACGAAGGGCCTAACTCATAAAGGCCCATTGAACAAATGTAATCATGATGTTATGGCACATCAATTTTTATTCTAGGTAGTTAAGTCAGTTAGTAAGTTTTCTTTTTTGTTACATTTTCTATTTTTATCCGTGGAAACGTATAAATGCCTTTTTTGTTAAACTAATTTAAGTAGGTACTTATATTGGATGTTGGTTCTTCTCAATATAAAATAATGTAACGAAATCAATTACATACCCATATCCGATAGAAAATCAAAAACAAACTGGATATCTGTGCCGTGTAAATCCTACAACAACAACAATTACAACTTCAGCACTGTATTATCACTACACCTGCCGAGGGTTTTACGAGCGAAAGAAAAGCT